TTTATAAATAGTAAAAGATATATTTAATAACAAAGATAATAATAAAAAAGATATGACAAGAATTAAAAAAATAAAGTTAATCTTCTAAACTATATAACAAAGTTAAAACAATATGATATTGATTAATTTTAACATTACTCTCAATTCAAGATAATGTATCAATCGCCTGTTAATTGATAAGATATTAAAAAAACTTTGAAAACATATTAAAAAATATTATAATTTTGTGATTATTAAGATTTAAGGAAATAATGATATCTTCTCTAACCGTATTATATATGAATCTTAATTATAGATTAACTTGAGCTCAACTTGAAATTTTACATACATCAAATAATAAACAGTTATTACTCAATGTATAATCACTGTTATGATTTTTACAAAATTAATCAATATCTATTCAAAAATAATATACTATAAGTCTTTAGAAACTCATCAACTGGTTATATTTTACAATTAAATTCAGAAATTGCACCTAAATTGTAGAATTAAAAAGGAAATAATGGATAATCTTAATAAAATTTATCTTCTCTATAACAACCTCCTTGGACGATAAATTATTTAAATATATAAAAAAGCATTCATATTAGCCACACTTAAATGTATGGGTATTTTCTCTTAAATTTCCAAAATAAGTATTTTACTAATAAAAATTTTTCAATAACATTGTTAAAATTTAAAGTTTATAAAATCAATTTAATAAAAAATAATAGAATTACTGTTAATTAAATATTAGTTGAGAAAAATATTATTTTGTAAATATTAGAATATATTGACTCTCAAGAAATACGAAGATTAAAAAACTTAGAAATGATAAATGCTGAAAGATTTAGTTGTACAATATACTTTATAAATCTTGTACAATTCACATTCTAAATATAAATTTAGAGAAAATGCTTCGTTATGATAAGAATAATTACAAAAAAACAGTATAAAAAGATTTAAGATATTATTGCATTCATGCAACTAAAAGTTCTATTTCATAATATTTTAAAATGGGCTCAATTAATTTCCATTTTAGTAATGCTTGAAGATTGTTAAAAAAAGAAAAAAACTATAAAATAGATCTCTATCAACAAATATTGGACACAAGAAGTATATTAAAATAAATTTAAATTAAGGGCTAATATAGGTTAGTTTATAAATTAATCAAGTGTGATGGTAAGAAATTATAATTTACTCCTATAATTCTCCTAAAAGGAAACGGTTTTTTATAAAAAACTCTCTTAAACCTTGAAAAATTGAAGTCTGGGTAAACCATAATATTAGATGTATCTAAATTATATATATATTATTTTTCTGCAAAAGTGTGTTAAAAAAAGGATATCTTGTATTTTTAACTTAAATGTCTTTAAATCTATAATCTGAACAATACTTGTTTTTGATTTCCCATAGACGGATAGAGTTATCACCACTACGAGAAGCTAATGTATTTCCATCAGGAGAAATACAGACTGATTAGACAAAACTAGTATGACCATCTAATTTGGCTTTTTATTATCCTGTTTTGACATCCCATAGACGGATAGACTTATCTTATAAAATCGAAACTCTCTTATTGGTTGAGGAGTCAAATTGACTAGTTCTCCATGGCGTGTTAGACCTAGGAGCAGGAGAGTACACCTTAACTGTAGAGAATTGAAATGGAGTAACATCATATCAAAGAAGAATAAAAATTTAAAGATCTTCCCAAGGATAAAAAGACTTTTAAGGGGAAGAAGAATTCCAAAAAATTAGGAAAGAGGAAAGAATGAGTATCAAAAATTGCTTAACAGTTTTCCTTCTGAATTTTGATATCAAAAATCTTAAAAAATTCTGTTTAAATATCTAGTGTATCAACAGAAATAGAATTTATAGAATTGGCTAATAAATTAAAAGGAGTATCAAATTCTACTATTTATCCTTCACTTATGACCATAATTTTATCGTAATCTGAAATAGTATTTAATCTATGAGAAATAGTTATTATTGTGCAATCTGAAAACTTATATTTTAAAGTTTCTTAAATAAAATCAGCTGTTTTCATATCAACATTTGCGGTAGCTTCATCTAATACTATGATTTTCTTTTCATCTAATATCATTTTGGCCTAGCAAATTAATTATTTTTAACCCACAGAAAAAACAGAATTTACATCACTCTTGTCTGTCCTAAGACCTTTTATAAATTTTTTACTTGGCTGAGAAGGTCTGTTTATTCTAAAACTTTCCATAATTTTTCATCTTAATGAATATCAAATGGTACTAAATTTCTTCTTATTGTCCCAGTAAATAAGAAAGGAGATTATTCCAATATTACTTCTTACTTTTTGTATTCCTAATTTTCTAATATCTTAATCAGAAATTAATAATTTTGATTCCTAAAAATTTCTTATTTCTGAAATATTAAAAGTGGCTTGTATAATAGTAGATGTTCCAGCGCCTGTTCTTCCAACACAACCAACTTTTTCATTACTTTAAATTTCAAATGACAATCCTTTTAATACTAAATCACAATTTTGACCTGTATCTCGTGGAAAAATTTTCAAATTTAACTCTTCCATCCTTTGGAAAATCAAGATGTTTATCATCTTCTTTAACATTGTGAAGAGGTTATGGCAGTAAATTATCTAAAACATTCTGTTACAAGAGTTCATTTGTGTATCAGTTATTCACTGTCTTAATCCCAAATGTAGTAAGCCATTATATGCAGATAATATTAATAATCCTAGCAATATTGTCATAATTTAATTTTTAAAATATTAAAATTCCAACTGATAAATTAATCAATCCCAAAACATCTAAATTGAACCAAAATGAATTGTAATAAGTTAAAGCACAATGATTGCATTTATTTGAAACCTCTAAAAATTGTATTCGAAACCAGTCTTGCTAATGATACAATCTTATTTGAATAACTCTTCCTAACGTTTTATTAAAAAACTCAAATAAGGGGGTTTTTTACAATAATCCAACTTCTTTTAATTTACTAATAATTTTTTTAGCAGAACTAAACTAATGTGCCTTTATTGTGATAATAAAAATAATCATTATCAAAAAATATGGTTGTAATATTGGTTGGGTTATTAGAGCATATGAGAAATTGCCAATTATTTCTAACACATTCAAGGTAACATAATTTATTTGACTATCACACAAAGATAAATCATTAGAGAATCTATTGAATATTCTGCCAGATAGATTTACATCAAAATATCAAACAGGTGTTAATATTAAAGATTTAAGCATTTCTTAATGTATCTTCTGAGTAGAATTTTATACTTAATATGTATTCAAAGAATATTTTATTAAATTTCAAAGAAACAGTCCTAAAGTAAGCATTCCTAATGTCTAATTTGCAGTATCAAAATCATTTTCTTATTGATATTCTTGAAAAATTGAAAAAATTCTTTTATAATAATTTATTCGAAAGTCAGATCAAGAACAAAAAGAATTATTATTACATTCCAATATTAATAATATCTAAAATACATTCTTAAAGTTATCAACTACTGTTAATCAGCTTCATTTCCAACTAAGTTATTGGCAACTAAATTTTAGATTATCTTTTTTTTAAAGAATGTCGAATTCACTACCTATTTTTTTTTGCTTACTAACTGTTTTTTAATTATTATACTAACCCTTCATTGATCATATATAAACTCGATTTAATATTTTAATATTAGCCTTGAGTTATTAACACTCTGTCATTTAAAATACCCTTTTTTCACATTAGATAGCATATTAGATTTAACGAGTAACTGAAATAACGATTGCTTTCTTTTTCAGAATTTCTCTCTATTTAATATTCAAGAATAAATTCTTTGAATGCCATCTGAAAAATCCTTTTAGCAATATTTGCATCAAAAGAAGATAATAGATCATCCAATAAATATAGGTCTGCTTATTATTACAGTCAGTAAATGGAATTGAAAGCTTTTTTTGAATGTTTTATTAATTTTTAATTATATAATTATTATGTAAAACCATTTAAGGAGAACCAATTTTTTATAAAAAAAGACATTTGCTTATTTTTATTTCCTATAAGATGCATAAAACACTTTTGATATAAGACTTTATCATATGATCTACCGAACAAAATATTGTGTTTATAGTTTCAGGAAAAATAAATGGTTCTTATTCAACATATACTACTGAGAAAATATTTTTATTTGCCTCTTGACCATCAATTTTGAAAGGGCCATTATATACAGGAATCTCATGCAATAAAGATCTAAAAAAAGTGGTTTTCCACAACCAACTTTACCTTCATTGATTTTTATCCAAATTATTCATTTCTTAATTTTCTATTTAAAATAATTGCTACTCTATTAAAAGATATATTGATATGACTTACAGATTAATTTCCATATGAAACCATGAAGATCCAACTTAACTTTATAAATGTCAGTAATTGAATGATAGAAATAATTTCAGTAACTTTCATTGTTTCTCTGTATCCTCAATAATAAAAAATCTCAAACTTGATTTATAAAATTAAACTAAATAATCTGTCTAAAGCTGATCTATAATTGATTTTTAATAGGCAAATATATTCCTTTTGTCTAATTATTGAAATCATTTTTTAAAAATGCCTGCCCCATGCATAAATTTTAACTAATCTTATTCCTTCAATAAGTTCGTTTGTCAATTTTAATCGTTTATCTTAATTTTTTTTAAAGATTTTTAGTTTCTGAGTTAAACCATTAAAGTATGACTTAATAATACAAAGTGCCTTTAGCCAATAGGCCTATAAAATCTTTCCTATAATTTATGGCATCAAAAAAAATGATGGACAAAAAAATCATTACTATAAAATAATTCTAAATCGATTAAAATAAAACATATTCAAGATAATTGATAGAATAAGCACTTAATTCAGTTTACTTTAGATAAACTAAATATTAAGTGCCATTCTTGCTATTGTTGAGAAATAATTGCCAAATTATAACCATGGTCCATTTTTAAAAACTGATTTAGAGCAAACAGCAAAACAGTAAATAGATATGCATCATCTTTTTCCTCTATTTTAGCACTTATAATTATTCATTGAAATGATTACTCCATTCTTTGGAAGAGATTCAAAGACATGATAAAAAAAAACATCTTAATTCAATATCAATTTAAATATTATTTATGATAGAATTATTTTATAATTAAGATAACAAAGAGCTGGAGAAGAAAAAACTCTAATGATCGAAATTTTATTTTCAAAAAGATTAATTAAACTTTGACATTTTTACATCTCTCCAGTCTTGGAGATTAGGAATACTCAAGAGCTATTTATTATCAATAAATTTCAGTATTGGTTATTAAGTAAATGAATCAATAAACAACCAAGAAAAGATATCAAAATTTTCTAAAACTCAAGTTATATATAAGGAAATCCTCATAGTTTCTCTCCTGATATACTAGGACATAAATAATTTGGAATTAGGAATTATGAATAAAGGGAGGCAGATAATAAGGTGATGCTATACTAATTGATGGAAAAAGAAATAAGACGTGATTAAACGATTCCAGAATGCTTGATTTAAAGAATTCTTAAGTTGATCTGTAATGAAATTTGTAAAGAAGAACCAAATCAAATTGAGCTATAATAGCTTTGAATCGTGTGTAAAGATTTATATTTATGGCATTAAATAAATTAAAATATCTTATTTAAACATTACGAGGTGTAATTACAAGTAGTGAAATGATATCTCTAATCCTAAAATAATTTTTTAATCAATATTTAGATTCATAATCGTATCTACCAATGAAAAAAACATATTCAAAATTTTTGGTTGAAACTGAATATTGAGGGATAAAAGCTAGATATTACAATTACATTTAAATCATTTTCTTCTTTGATGGAATAGTGTTAAAAAGTGCATAATTAATGAATGATTATCTTTGAAAGCCTTAGATGATTTTAAAAATGGAGATATATTTGCAAATGTGAAAAGAAATCAAACATTAGTTATAAATAAAAAATAATTCTTCCTTTAATAATTAAAAATCTCTAAAAAAAAATTGTATTACAAATATAACCGTATTTCTTTAACTTATAACTAAATTTTAGGGATGGTAAATGTAATTTTCTTTAGGTAGATAGAAAATAATTACCAACTATATTCAATAATTTTTATTACAAAATTGTAATCATTTCATCAAAAAAATAGAATTCCTTTGATATACCCTGTCATATGTCTTTGATTATAAATAAAAAAATTATTAATTCTGATTATTTTTATAATTCAATAACAATAGAAATGTATTTTTATATAATAATTTATCATCATCTTCTCCTATGCCCTTTTCTATTTCATATTGATAGAAATCATTATATTTTATTCGTATGCTTTTCGCTGTCGATTATGATTAAAACTCAGAATTTCTAATTTCTATTGATATCTAATCAATTTCTTATTTACTTTATTACTTATATTCTTCAATCTACTTATTTTATCTTCTTACAATTCCTTAACCTTCATCAATATTTTCTTAATATTAGTTTTTTACTTGAAATATTTTTTTCTAACTCTCCTATTAATAATTCTAATTGTTATTATCTAATTTAATAATCCAATGGTTTTTATTATTCTGATGATAAAGAATCATTTTGAATTTTATCTGCATTTTCATAAAATTATTTTCAGAATAAAATAGAAGAGGGTCCAAAAATTGTATTTTTAAATGATGATTCTAATGATAATTGATTATTCACCTTCATTTTTATGAGAGCAATCTCCCATAGAATTATTTAAAATTATGATTAATCTCATCTAAGATCTCTTAACATTAGGTAAATATTTGATTATCCTTATTGCTCTATCTTTCATAAAACTCGGTCTCTAGTATTTAAGGCATAAAAATATAATGAATAGCATTTTATCTAAGATACCCAGTGTATAATTATTCTTATTAATTTTTATCTTTTTCAAAATCCAAAAGTGGAGCTTCAACTATATTATTAATAATATTCCCTGTTACAAAATTTTTATCTTTANTATTGAGGGATAAAAGCTAGATATTACAATTACATTTAAATCATTTTCTTCTTTGATGGAATAGTGTTAAAAAGTGCATAATTAATGAATGATTATCTTTGAAAGCCTTAGATGATTTTAAAAATGGAGATATATTTGCAAATGTGAAAAGAAATCAAACATTAGTTATAAATAAAAAATAATTCTTCCTTTAATAATTAAAAATCTCTAAAAAAAAATTGTATTACAAATATAACCGTATTTCTTTAACTTATAACTAAATTTTAGGGATGGTAAATGTAATTTTCTTTAGGTAGATAGAAAATAATTACCAACTATATTCAATAATTTTTATTACAAAATTGTAATCATTTCATCAAAAAAATAGAATTCCTTTGATATACCCTGTCATATGTCTTTGATTATAAATAAAAAAATTATTAATTCTGATTATTTTTATAATTCAATAACAATAGAAATGTATTTTTATATAATAATTTATCATCATCTTCTCCTATGCCCTTTTCTATTTCATATTGATAGAAATCATTATATTTTATTCGTATGCTTTTCGCTGTCGATTATGATTAAAACTCAGAATTTCTAATTTCTATTGATATCTAATCAATTTCTTATTTACTTTATTACTTATATTCTTCAATCTACTTATTTTATCTTCTTACAATTCCTTAACCTTCATCAATATTTTCTTAATATTAGTTTTTTACTTGAAATATTTTTTTCTAACTCTCCTATTAATAATTCTAATTGTTATTATCTAATTTAATAATCCAATGGTTTTTATTATTCTGATGATAAAGAATCATTTTGAATTTTATCTGCATTTTCATAAAATTATTTTCAGAATAAAATAGAAGAGGGTCCAAAAATTGTATTTTTAAATGATGATTCTAATGATAATTGATTATTCACCTTCATTTTTATGAGAGCAATCTCCCATAGAATTATTTAAAATTATGATTAATCTCATCTAAGATCTCTTAACATTAGGTAAATATTTGATTATCCTTATTGCTCTATCTTTCATAAAACTCGGTCTCTAGTATTTAAGGCATAAAAATATAATGAATAGCATTTTATCTAAGATACCCAGTGTATAATTATTCTTATTAATTTTTATCTTTTTCAAAATCCAAAAGTGGAGCTTCAACTATATTATTAATAATATTCCCTGTTACAAAATTTTTATCTTTATTTACTCTTGAACAAAAAATATTTTATCAAATATTTTTATTTTTCCTCATTACATAGCGATAAAATTTGTAATATTTCTCTGCAATGTGGTTTTAGTTTATATGGATTTAGCAAAATATCTATAATTGTAAAATAAATTAAAGTAAGAGAAAATATATATTAACAAGATAACAGTATTCAATTCTGAAGCTGGTAATGCTTAAGTTACATTTAGCAGTTATTAATGTTTTTTCTACTTTATGTTACTTCTACCCGAATAATATTGAGTTAAAAAATTGGAATATTCGAGGCATAATATACTACAATAAGCTTAAGGTAATAAACCTTTTCCAAAAATTCAAGTATATTACATAAATATTAGCATAAATAGGACTAATTTAAAAATTTAGAACATTTGGAGAAGGTCTGAATTATCAGATGTTCTTTTTAAAGTAGAAAATCCTATTGAATATTGTACCAGCGAATTGTCTTTTTAATCATAAATAATTTAGCAATTATACTACTATTGAAATTTAAATCACATCAGCTTTATATACACTATAACTCTTACTCAAAAGAAGTTTTTAGAAGATATAAATAACACATAAATTTATGTGAAAAAGATATTTTTATTATTTTCATATTAAGGCATGGATAAATTTAATTTTCTTTGATAATTATAGTTTATTAAACAATACAATCTTTCTGGCTAAAATCAAAGACGAATAGATTTAGTTATTATCAAAACACTAGATTTTTATTAAAAAGTATTAAAATTGTGAAAAGCGATTAAAAAAGTCATATTAAATAAATCATCTAAGTTATCTATAAATATACTAGCATCTCATAAATTTCAAATAATGAATCTTCTATTTAAGCATTATAGACAGCAATAATATAAAGTTTCTAATTTAAAATTTTGAGAACTTTAAATAGAAATCATCTAATCTTTTTTTGAAATGAAATGAAGTAAATCGTAATAAAACTCTGAAATTTTAACATAAGATGAATACTCATTGTTATTTGAATATTCTCAAAATTTGTTTTCAATTCCTCATTATTTCTCTACAAAATAAATGCAAGATTTTTTTCTCTTGATAACTATTTTCCAAAAGTTATTTAAATTAAGATTTAAGTTCATTAACAATTTATAATACTAAGTTTACATTATTTGTCTAATATTTTTTAGGCTATTATATTAACTCTAATTATTATAATATTGTTAAGAGAATAATATGTTATTAATTAATTCTATATTTTCTTGCTATAAATTTTTCACTGATTTTAAGTATTGAATATTTGAATCATTATTCATCTATAAATTGGGAGAGTTATTTACAAAAAATTACATTAATTTTGTTTCTGTGTAATTAAATGAATTAAAAACTTTTTTCATCAATTTTTCAATTACTTATTTAATTTATTTTCGATATTCTAAGCCAAATGTTTAGATAAAGTAAATAATTTATATAATGCAGAATCAATATTTTCTAATTCATCGAATTTTATTAATATCATATCTTTACTAGTGATACATCAAATAATTGTTTTATTTATATTTATCCAAATACAGTGAGAGAATGAGCTTTAATTCTAATATATGCTTATAATTCTTGCGATTTATCAAATCAAATATCAAATTTTTGTCTGATCCCTATTCTCCGATATAAAAAGTTAATGACTTCATCAGATATTTATTTAAATACTTCCAATTTTTAGTTTCTAAAAGAATGCAAAATAAGTTGCTGATAGAAATATATGCCTTAATCAAAATGTTCACAAATGAATAAAAGAATTTGTCATACAGAAGTCTATTTTTAACCTATGAACTATGAACGATTTCTTTTTGGCAAAAAAAAACGTTCCTTCATCTCTGATCTTCCACCTTTATAATCAAGCGTGCAGTCAATATAATCTGCATAAAAGGTAAAATTTGGAACTTCTTGTGTCGTTATCCAATAAATTTGGTGATTATTAGAATCACTTCCGTTTGAGCAGCAGGAGTCCTCCCTAATTAAACTTTGACGAGGCCGTATTAAGTACAGTCTTACCTTACGATTGGCAGCTGCCTCTCTTCAACCTCTACTTAGTAACAGAAAAGAAAGTAAATTTTAAAAATAGATGTGTTAAATGAACTATGTTGATTTGTTACTTATTTTTTACTATAAAAATAGTGATGTTTAATCTTTTTCTCATCCACTAATTATAATGTTAACAAAAATTCCACATATTAATATCAGTCAGTTCTAATTGTTTCAAAATCTAGTTATTTTTCTAATTTTATTTTGATTTGCCAACGATATATATTTTTTGCAAGGATTACTCAATTAATCATGTTTGATCGTTTCCACATTGTTTCTCCTTTTTATTATATTTTATGGAATTATTTATAATTGATTTAGAATTCATTTAAATAAAAAACAACTTAAATTACAATATTAATTCAGATCACAATCATTCCTTTCAAAATTTCTAATTCTCTTTGAATTTATAACTCCTCTTTTACTTATTCATAAATATCGCCAATGTTGTATAAATCTAAAATTTTGCTTAATATACTACCAACTAATTTATCTAATAAATGTAACATGGAATGAGAGTATTTAGGATTTGACATCTTTTACAAAATAAATTGTAAAATCATCTATAATTCTTCATCATCGATATCCTTTAATGCCACTTCTAAAGCTCCTCTTTCAGATAATTCTTCCACAAGACTGAGTATTATTGAAGTTTTCTTTTCTTTAAATGCCTATATTGTATTTGAAATTTACCTTTAAAATTGCTTCCTTATACTTAAAAGTGACTAATAATTTATCATAACCAGAAAATTTTTAAATTTGAGTTGTTGGAACTTTAAAATCATAATCAGCTAGTTTAGAATAGATGCCTCTATTATAAAATTTATAATTTTTTATTCTTCTTTATAAATGTGGATTAGACTTTAAATATTCAGGAATGTAATCTTCTTCTTCTTCTATGTCTTCATCATTTTTTGAAGGTTTTAATTGATTTATTTGCAATTAACCATCACTTCCTCCAATAGCTATATTAAATCCATCTTAAGAGACATCCAAGGTCATTACGGGACTTTTCCATTTTAATTAATGAGTAACAGTTAAAATATCAGGTCTTATAAATTTAACCTAATGATCTAAAGATCCTGTAATAATTCTAATTTAATCATGATAATAAGCTAAGGATAAAGAAGTAACAGTCTACTGATTAGTATGTAATTCTTAAATAAAATTGTCTTTTCTGAAATCCCACAAAGTTGTAAATTAATCTTATGCAGAAATAAAATTCAACTTATTTGGTAATATCAAAATAGATTCGATTGGATAATTTGTTAAGTAGGACTTAATTGGGTCATTGCTGCTACTTCTCAAATCATATAATTTAATAGATTTATCATAGGATGAGGACAATAATTATTATTCTTCATATCCAGCTATGCATCTAATAAAATCATTATGGGCATTGGGGATGCTTCTAATCACCATATCATTTGGTATATCAAAAAGTTTTATTGTCTAAAATTATAATAATAATTACTCCATCATCTCCAGCTGCGTATAATTAATCTGTATTGTTAAAGCTGATTGTGTGCACTGGTTTCTTGAAATTCTTGAATTACCTTAGAGATGTTTTTGTCTTAAGGTTCATAATATTTACTAATCCATCTTCATGTGAGGTTGCTAATAATTGAGAATCACATCTTAATTAAAGCGAAAGAACTTAAGTTTTGAATCTACTCAAAGTTTATGTGATTTAATTTTTATTTGTACTAAAAATTTCTACTGTATTGCCATTTGCTATAGCTATTCTTTATTTGATATTATTAGAGGCACTAATAGCTTTTATTGATTAATTATGTTATTTTTCTAACACTTAATTAAAGCTATTCCAATATCTGTTTTCAGCATTATCACTAACAGGCTTTTTAAATAATCTAAACAATATATGGCTTTATTTTACAATTTTTCTTTTAGTTTTATGTAATTGTCCATTAATATAAAAATTAATTTTATTATGTAAAGTTAAATTAAGTGTGATTTTTGAATTCTTATTTTAGAGTAGTTCTTGGAATAATAAAGATTTATTTTGCCATCTAATTCTCAAATCAAGCTTCTTGTCATAGACTTATTTAAATCAAATTTAAATGAGATTCTTTATGCAATACTCCTAGATTGCTATTTAATTGAGGTAAATAGATCAATACATATTATTTATTACAATAATGGATTAAAATTATATTGATAAATAAGTAAAATAAGGAAAAATCATTGTTGTAATCAAGAAATTAGTATATGATTTGACAGAGTTCAAAATCAGACATCCTGGAGGCTTTAAAATTTTAGAAAAATATAATGGATATGATGTTACAAGGCAGTTTGAAGTTGTAATTCGACACAGCGAAAAGGCCAAAGAAATGATGAAAGAATTTTTCATAGGGTCCTTTCAAGATCGTAAATAAAAGGTTTCATGGGAGCATATAAGATCAAATTAAGAAAAACTATACATTGTGATCTAAAATAATCTATATGATTGCACAGAGGTATTAAAAGAATTTATTTGTTAGTTTGCAGATAATCATCCAGGAGGAAAAGAAATATTGTTATTATATAAGAATTAAAATGCCACAGAAGCATTTAAAAGACTTGGCCACAGTTAAGAAGCAAAAGAGAAAATGGATTTGTATAAAATTGGTGAATTAGAACATAAAGTAATAAAAATCATATAATAGAAAGCTGAGGGGAATTCCTAAAGATGGCTTTTGTTTTTTATAGGACTAGTAATTGCTTATATTTACAAGAGTATTGCTTATTGAAATATCCTTAAATTTTAATGCATAAATATTTATTAATAGTTATATAATCCTTATTAATTAAAGAAATGAATGAAAGAAGAGAAGAAACTACTATACCAGTTGCTATGGAGTATGACAAGAAGAAAGATGATATTGAGAAAAAATTAAATTCGTACATTTGATAAACTAATAAAGATTATTTGAAGCCGATAAGGCAGCTGAAGAGTAATTGTATTAAGTGTAATAAATACTTGCTATTTAAGGAGCAGTATTAGAAACTGCTTCAGAGTCATCATTAAGGATTCTTGCAATTTAATATTTTATTACAAGTCTTTTAACAATGTTTATTTTGTAATTAAATCGTTTTGGATGGATTTTAACATGGCTTCCTTTTTTAGAATAATTTGTTGGAACTATTTACATTATAACATTATTACTCTCTGAATTTTGTCCGAGTGCAGTATCAAAAGTAAATTAATTAATATTTCTAGTTACCTTATAACTTTTTGATTTTTATTTTTCATTCTTGTTCCAAAATTTTACTCCTTGTTTTTTTGTCACTTTGGAATTCAGAGTATAAATGCGAATTAATTACTCTATCTTTAGGAATTTCTATATTATACTTGATATATTTAATAAAGAGTTCTGTAGGTATATTTAATCATAATATTTAAGCTGAGAAGTAATATTAAGGTATGAAAGTAAAAAAATAATTCTGTAATGTTGTTGTAATGGTGGCTTTTATATCTGGTGTTTTATGTTTGCTAACTAGATCACATCTAGTAATTATCGCCATATTAGCATGTTTTGGTCTGATTTATATCTGCTTCCTATAATTAGCTCTTTAAAGATTTGAATAGATGGAATATATTTTTGAGAATTCAAATGACATTTATTTGGGACCTGCAATATTGGATGCTGATTTGCTATTCTTTTGCAAATTATGTTTTTTCCATTGTTTTAGTAAGAAAAATAACTACAATCCAAAAAAAAAGGAAGAAGAATCAGATTAAAATGAGAATTGAAAATGAAATTTATCATCAATATATATAGATATTCACTTTTATATTTATATATTATTTACATATTCTTCAAATAATACTAATCTCCCTCTAAATACCATGATCAATTTAATATTAATGCACAGCATTTTCATAACCTTTACTTTTTACAAATTTATTTATTTAATCAATTTCATCTTCTGTGACTTTCTTACATAATATTGCTATAGCATCATACCCTCCTGCTCCAGGACATATTCCCCATAATGCTGAAGGCTAAGAAAGTGAAAAATCAATAATTTCAGTTGAAATTTTTGGCTCAATATCATAATTAGCTAATTAACTTAATTCTCTTAGTAAAGAGCGATATTCTTAATTCAATTTTAAGAACTTTTCTCTAACCTATTTTTGTTGTTGGAGAAGATAAAACAATTCCATAACACATTTCTCACTTGTTTCTAAAAAATATTTATTATATTTTTCGTTTTCAGATAAGCATTTTTATATAGTATTTATACCTTTAATAGTACTTTATCCTTATTTTAAATCAATTAATAAAATTTGATAATTTTTATCAAGGCCATCTAATATCTTCACTTCTTTTTTGCTAAATAATTAGCTTCCATATATCGCAGTTGAAATATCAAAACCAGAACCTTTATTTTGTTGAGCTATCATGTTAGCTTAAGAAGCAAACTAGTACAACTTTTCATTATCATTGATAAATTAACCTAAACAAGAAACAATTAATCCAGCAGAACTTCCTAAACCTAATTTTGTGATTTTATTTTTTTAATTTAATGAATAAAAAGCTGAATCTGGCTTTGTTTCAATCAACCAAGAATCAGTAATCAGCTAGTTCTCAAATAAAATTTAGAAGATAGCATCAAAATATATATTTTCGCTCTAGCTTATCTAATGAAGAGAATATTTGATTTCTTGAGAAAATTATTCGCTCTTAAAGACTATTTAGTTTTTTTCTTATAATTTAATTTTTTCTGTCCTAAATCTAGCATTGATTGCAATAGAGATTCCATGATTATTGGGATTCAAAATAGCATATCCTCCTGCTAATAATACTTTACCAGGACATGAACAAATAAATTTTTACATTTTATAATAACTTTTTTTAAAAAATAAATAACAACAAAGAAATGATTAAATCATAAAGTAATGACCTTGAAGATTAAGAAGGAAATAATGAAAAATACAATCTACTTTCTTCTGGATATCAATCTCCTAAATTAAACTTAACCTCAAGATGTAGGCTATTTATGACTTAATATGAGAGACAAATAATAAGATCTTTATTAAGTTCAAATATTTAGAGAATTCCTTTTGAAAATAGTTATTTATATTTAGTGAATTATGATTCAGAGTTGTCAATATTTAAAATTTAAGGAGATTAAATAACAAAATCAATCTAAACAGATACTTTTGCCGCATTTGTTAAAATTCATTCATCATCAACAAATTCTAAGAGAATAAAGAGTTATTTGATAGATAGAAATAATATCATATATCTCTATGAAATAGATTTTAAAAAAGATGAAAGTCCTTTATTTAGAAAAGAAGAACTAGAAATAAATTAATTTTTAAAGTTAGAAAATAGTATTTTCTTATCAGTAATAAATTAACTCGTATTTAGTGTTTTGTAAATCAAAATGGTTCCCTACTAGCGATGGTTTCAGATACTAAAATTTTCTTTTTATAAGATGATGTAATTAGGGAAATAGAAAACCCTCTTCAAATTAAATCCTTCCCCTATTACTTTAATTTTGAATAAAAAGTAAATTTAGAATTTAGCGCAGATAAGAAGTGTTTTATTATTGCTTATGATTCTTTGGTTTTTATTTATGAGAATTTTTTACAATTAAAAAAGTTTGAACTTAAAAATAAGTAAAAAGTTTTGAATGTATTTTATTTAATTTTATTAGATTAAATTATTCAATAACTAACTTATAATACTAACAAACATAGCAATAATAAAAATTGATAATATATTTAATGAATATATTTAATTAAAAGATTAAGATTACTTTAAACCATTAGATTCTGAAAGGACAATAAAATATGGAACTTTTGAAATAGAAAATTAAGAAATAAAATCAGTAATTATTTATGATAGCTGTCAAACATTATATTTAATTGAAATGAATAGTATTTAAATGGGGTAAATGGATATTAAGGAAATAAAAGCATAATTTAAAGAAGATGAAAAAATTTAAATGATAGAAGTAGAAAGAAAAACAGTACAATTTATTGTAATGAGAATTTTTTTTTTCAAAAAGAATCATGAACTAGGTTATTTTGAATATTAAGGAAATTTTTGATTCTCATTGATTTATTTTTATGATTTCATTACTTTCCGTATTCCTTTTAAGTCATTAGATTGTAGAAATCATCAAAGGTGACAAAGCCATCATCATCTAAATCGGCTTTCTTAAACATGTGCTAGATTTCTTCATCAGTCATTTCTTCTCCCAAATCTTATGCTACTCTTTTTAATTCATCCCATGTAATGCGACCTTTGTTAAATAAATAAATTACCCTCCTTATTCCAATCATAAAGATTAAAGACTTTTTAGATTTACTCTCTAGTATCTTTATCACTAACCTTGGCTGTTGCAAGATGCAAAAACTCTTCAAAATCAATTCCTCCACTATTGTCAGTATCTAATTCACCCAATACTTAATATATAAATTTATTGTGGTAGGTTTTAATTCCTGATGCCTCAAAAGCTTCTCTCAATTCTTATGGATCGATAGATCCAGATCCATCATTATCAAAAATGTCAAAGGCTTACTTGACTTCTAATACCTCTTCTTTTGTAAGATGTGGAGGTTTAGCGTAATCTTCGGCATTAAAAGGTTTAGGGCCCTTCTAAGGAGGGGGAGGAGGAGGAGCCTTTTTATCATTCTTTTATGCAGACGATGGTGCCTATCTTGACATTTAATTAATATTTATTTATATTTATATTTAGATACTAGTGAATAACATTTAATATCAAATGTTGAACCATTAATTATCAATTAAAGTAGTAGCTGTTGGTCTATTGTCTGCTTAGGCATCCAACATTAATAAGATCATATTAGCCAACTCTTTTGAAACAAACTTTTTGAGAATTAATCGATTGGTTCTTGAATTATCTTCAGGTAATTGACAAGTACACATTTGAAATATAACTACTCCTAAACAAAATATATCAAAAGAAGGTTAAACTAAATAATTAAGATCTGCTAATTCAGGAGGTATATGAGGAATTGTTTTCATCAGATATTTCCTAAGATCAGGATTTAATTTAGTTTTGATTTCTGATAATGTCTCGAATCGACTAATTTTTAACTAGAATTAAGGAAAAATTACTTATCTGTACTCTTCTTTGTGACACTCTATATTTTGGAGGATGATACACATATGAACATAATTGTTTTGATGAATGTATTTTAGTCCTTCTAAAATACTGTAAAGATATGATCTTAACTTAATTTCATTTGATAATATTCTGGATTCGGTTTAAACACGTTCCTACAAATAGTTATACTAATTAGCGTAGGAAGTGTATATCTGTAGAGTAGTTTGATTTTCAATGACGTATTAATGAACCTAAACATTCAATATGAATGTACTTATGATAAATTATCATCGTTGAATTATTGAGCTCTTCTTAAGGAACTTATAATCAAATCTGTGTTATAAGGATTAGATATGGTATATCTGATCCTCTAGTCATTATTTATATATTTACTTTAACAAATTTTGAACTGATCACAATCTGAATGTCTTATTGAATTTCAGAAACAATTAGAAAAGTCTCTTCAGGTTCTTCATAGTCTCTCAAGGATGATAGGAACAAACTGTCATTAATAATTAGTAGATGCTGTGGACATTTGTATGGAGAGGTGACAGCTTTTTAAAATTCAATTGAATCATCATCCTAAGTGAGATTTGTATTCATTGTTATTAATTATTATAAATTCGATCTAAATAATATAAGCATAGTAATAAATAATAATGCGTATTATTATTTTAATATTATAACTTAACTTTTAAGTTAAAATCAATATTTTCTTAAATGGAGAAACTATAGAGCATACCCAATTATGAGATAGTTAGGATAATAGGATCAGGGGCATTCGGTAAATTTTATGAATAATATCAAGGTTATGTGTTTGAAGCCTTTGATTAATAAAGACGCTAAAAAGTAGCCTTAAAAAGAATGCAAAAAGTTGGTAAATTATAGAGTAGAGAATGCGAAATATTGATGTAGTTAAAGCAGTGTAGTTATGTAGTGAAAATGCTAGTATAAGATTATATTATATAGGATGTATTCTACAGTAGAAGTGAAGATAATAAAATGATTTAAAATATTATACTAGAATTTATGGATCAAAATTTAGAAGATATCATTGGTGATCACAGAAAAAGAAAAACCTATTTGGAATCCAAAGAGCTTAAGAACTACCTCTATTAAATGCTTAAAGGTCTTGATTAGATTCATAGAAAGCATATAGCTCATAGAGATTTAAAACCGTAATTGTATAATATAATTAAAAAGAGAAAATATTTTAGTTAAAGATGGGAAAATTAAATTATGTGATTTTGGTAGTGCAAAGTAACTTAAACCATCTACTATTAATACACCTTATATTGTATCGAGATTTTATAGAGCTCCAGAATTACTTTTGGGAGTAACAGAATATGATGTATCAATTGATATATGGGCAACTGGGTGCATAATGGCTGAATTAGCTTTACTTGAACCATTGTTTATTGGGAAATCAGAAGGGGATTAGTTTTTTCAAATTCTTAGAATTTTAGGATCTTTTTCCAAATAGGATCTCAAATATTATTAAAAAGTTGTTCCTTTTGATGTAAAATTATTCAAAGAGTTTCCAAATTATGAACCTATTGATTTAGATGATAAATTTGATCATGTAGATGATAAAGATTTATTTATTGATTTGCTGAGGTAACATTATTGATTTGAGTAATTAAATAGTAAATTATTAAAATACATACCAGAAGAAAGAATTACAGCAAGCTAAGCATTAAAACATTAATATTTTTAAGAAATTCTAGACTAGTGATTTATTCAAAATTGTTTTTAACTAAAACATCATCAAGATATTCTCTTTTTTAATCGTTTATTTAATATTTCTTTCCAATTTCTCATATCGTCTATTTTCTCATGTGGAATTATAACTTCATTTGATTTGATTTCTGTTTGATTATATTAGTAGGGTTATTTCCAGTCAGAAATTAAAATTGTATTCATTTAAGAGATTGTTCTAAGATGAATAGTAATTATACCGATATTCAGTGATTGCAATTTAATCAGACTGAATATATTATTAATATTTTTAGTTTATTAAATCGATCCATTAATTTCTTTTGGTTAATTACAAATTTGATCTATAGCTAGTTTTAGGAGAGGATGCTAAATTAGTTATTTTTAATTTTGACTCTTAGTTTCTCTTACTTGCTGTTGTATGCAAAGATGTACTTGGTGTTTTCTTTTATTATTTTGATAGTTCTTTCAGAATATTTTTGAGAGAATACAGATTTTGGACTTTTAGTTTATTTTCAATCTTATTGGCCTCTCTAATTATTAGTTAGTTATAGTAATGCTTACTGATATATATTCATTAGCTTATTTTTCTTCTACTCCTAATCCATTTATTAATTATTAATATATATAAAATATAATATATAGTATCACAAGACACTCCAGGCATTTTATCCATGTTTATTAAAAATATGAGTGCTTCCTCCAGCTTCCATTAACATATCTGCAATTTTATAGTGTCCGTGGGCTAGAGCTAGATGAACTGCTGTATTGCCATCATCCTTGCTTAGTAATACAATACATTTTAAATATTTATGTCTGCTCCTCTTTTGACTAATTCATGGACAATTTCTTTGCAACCACATTAGGCAGCTAAAATCAGAAAAGTATTTCCATCTTATAAAGGAACATCTATTTACATTTCAGGAATAAATTAAATATTATCCATAAACTAAATACATGTATATAGGATACCTCTATAAAATTATTATTATAAATAGCTAATTTAATTAATTAATTTGTATCTAATTTTTATCTTCGTTAAGATTCTTTAATTTGGGTTCTCATTCTTAATGAATTCATGTACATACTTAGAGCATTCTAAATCTTTATAAAAACAATACTTTTCCTTCCTGTAAAAGATGATATTTATCTTCTTAATCTTAAATTGTTTCAAAACTATCTTCCTATTAACTTTGCATTTTTAATTGTGAAACTTACTATTATGGAGGTTAAGTATATTAAGTTTGAGATGATTATTGATGTTATATCTATTCAATTTTACTTGAACGTCTAGATTCTCCATTTTAAGAAGAATGAAAAGATGAACTAAGATCCTATTAAGAACTATTAAGGTCTATATGTTTAGAACTAACTACTCTAAAGACAGATTGTTGAGATGCTATAGTAGGTTTAGTAATAAGAACAGTTGATGTTTATGTAAATACATTTGAGTTTTACTGATTTGTTTATTGAATTGTAATTGTAAGTGGATTGGATAGCTCTCCTGATAACATTGCTCTTCTATTCCATTATTATGGTTAAGTAACCTATAAAGAATCTTATTTTGTTAATCCTTATAAATTCTACTTTTTTGTATTTATTGTTTATCTTTTATTAATTGATTCTTTCAATTCTTTAGATTATCTTCTCATAGAATTTCTTATATATGTTTATAATAAAGTTTAGTTTTCAAATTTATCATATTTACTTTCCTATTTTTCTAATATAGCTGTATTTGAAACAGGATCTTAATGTTCAACATCTATCATTCTGGTTTAGCAATTATATCTTCCAACTAAAATAATTGGATATCTAAATTCAATAGCTTAACAGATTGCTTTATTGAGTGTTGGGTTTCTTTAATATTTAAGCATTTCTTCAAATACTGTCTGATGTGTATCTATCAATACTCCCATTTCATAATCGTCACAAATTTTTACATGAAGACTTAAAAGATGATTTTTTGTTTTTTGTTCTAAGACACTAAGTATTGGTTAAAGATAGAGAGGCATTTAAAAAGCCATTCTTATTTTTTTAATCAAAATTAAAGCCCCTGTTGATAATTCTATAAAATGACTTTAAGTTAATTACATTTTTCATCGATTGGATCATCTTTTATAAAATATGTTAATGTCTATTCTTTAAGTTAATTTTGATCATTTAGAGTTTATTAACTCTTCAAAGTTATATTCTTTTTTATTACTGGTTCTAAGCTTTTTTTTATATAATATATTACTGTTATTAGCTGGACTTTCTAAAAAATTATCTAAAGAAACAGTATCATCAGAATCTTCACTTGATATTACTGCAGACTCATTAAAATATTCATCATAATTATAAATTGTATTTTCTTTATCTATACTATATTTTGGTAATAGAATTCCTGAAAATTAAATTTTATCAGTTAAATTTTCATTTGTGACTTTTCTTTATCTAACACCTTATTCAGATGTAGACATTACAGTATATACATTAGTTAAAATAGTACTACTAGTGAGGGCTACTTTTGGACGAAAGCTCTCTTCTACTTCTTATAAATTCTATTTTGTATAATTTGTTTTTTGCATCATTTTATAGAGTTTATTTTAATAGTAAACTCTAACAAATAGATTAGGCTTATTTAATTAAAAAATTTATTTACTTTACTAAAGTCAAATTTAAGATCAGCACTATTTGTTGCCTCTTCTGAAAATACACTAGATTGTATGGATAATCTAGAAAATCGATTAGCTCCTAAATTTCTTGAAGATTAAATATAATCAAGTTTTCTACTTGATTAAAGATTCTTTGAAGAAATCAAAGCTAACGGCACTATTTATCTAGGTGATTAAGGAGGTTTTAGTGGTGTAATTTCTTCAGTTGTATCCTTTTATTAATTCAAATGCTTAGGTCTATTAAATTAAAAGGTCAATTTTTCAACATTTTCATAAGTAATTATAACATTAAATTTAGTTTTTTCAAAGTCTTTTAGATTATCTTTTTCTTTACTCTTTTCTTTTATATTTTATGTATTTTTATCAGAACTAACAATCAATAAATTATTTTATATTTATGAACAAACACTAGTAATTGATTTTCTTTATGATTTTGGTAATAATGAAAATTATTCTTAATGCATAAGACTTCTTGAGGATGTTTAATGAATTAAATTAACCTTTCTTTAAAATGCTTTAGTTGAGACATTAAATTAATCAATATTTATTAATCCAAATTCTTTTTTAAGATGAATATCTTTTATATATTTCTCTTTTTTAAGAATATTTTGTTTTTTCTACATAAGTAATTTCAATGCTAAAATCTAATTTCCAGGTTCAAATCTTTTTTAAATTTATGGTCTCTCTACTTCTTGTAAGGCATTAAATTCATGAGATATGATTACATTAAATAAGGACTAAATATATAAAATTATACTTTCCTTGCTGGAGAATGAAAGGAATTTTACACAGCTTTTTTAAATCTAGATCTTATGGAAAGTTTACTGTTTGATAATTGGTCATCTTGATTATTTGATAATTAAGAGACTTATAATAAATTATTAGATTTATTTAAGAGTAATTGTTAATCTTTTCTTTATTCGAATCTTTATTCGAAATTACTTCTTTCTTATTCTCCTTATTCTTCTATTGTAATTGTTGGTTCAGTCATAATATTAATCAATGGTACTCTAGAACTTTCAATTTTAGGTTCAGGAGATAGCTTTGGTAATAAAGGAATATGAATATCATGCTTTTTTTTTTGGATGTACAAATAAGGAGTGGAGCTATGTTCAGAAACATATTTAATTCTATCAGTAGTCTTTTTCTAAAATTTCTTATTATCATTCTAAGAAACAAATTGAGATTTTGGTGATATTTATTCAGTCCTTAGCATTTTTTATTATGGAAGAAAATTCATCTTAGGAGACACAGATTTGTTTGATTTAATGGAGTGATTTTAAGATAGGAAACTAGTTAGTCTACTGCGTTAATCTTTGGGACTTAAAAAACTAGTTTAAGATGTTAATGAAAATGGGTTTGCATAATTCATTTATATATATATATTTATGCAACTATAAAAATCCAAAATCAAGCCCCCTTTTTTACTTGATGGTATAGCAGCTGCAAAAAAAGGGAAAGTGCTCAATTATAAGCCTGAGAAAGATGTTCATCTTGAATAATACTTTTACAATTTACATATGCATCAAATGATGAATAAATTGAAATAGGATAGATTGAGTTAGCGTAATTTACCTCATTCATTATCCAAGTCATTCGATTAGACTATTGTAATTATTTGATTTGTATATTGAGTAGAACCAATCAAAAGGCAATATTAAATCTGGATTACATAAAGCTTCATCACCTTCACATAAATCTTTTGTTAAAGCTCCAAATAATACACAAATATCTGAAGTATCTAGATCACTTTCCAAAGAACATTTTGTGACATTTCTTGATTCTCTTATAACAACAGTTTAGAATGTTTAACAGTTAGTAATTACTTATCTTCCAAAAGAATAAATTGATGGAGCAATTATTAAATAACAAAAAGAATTAAAAAAAATTAATCAAGCAACATAACTATTAACAAGATAATTAAGAGCAAATTCATTAACTTAAAAGAAGGAAGTAGAAAATGTAAAAACATAGAAGAACTTTTCTAAATTACCATAAATTAAAAAAGTTGATATATCTGTTAACTCATAAACTGAAAGAGGAAGGGATTAATCTACAAGATATCGTAAAACTCCAGGAGCAACTGTTGCTATTTTAACTTAAAAAACTTTGGAAAAAAATAATTAAAAAATTCAAGATGAATATGACAATAATGGTTTTGAACCTTATGAATCCAATTAGGAAATGTAACCTAAATAATAATTATAATCTCCAAATGAATATTCTGAAAATAACAATTAATCTATTAAATAATAATAATAATAGAATAAATAAGCTTAAACAGGATAATTACCATCTCTTAGAACATCTTTACAATAATAAACATAAAAAAAATACTAAAAAGAAATTTAATTAGTACTTACAAAACCAAAATAAAATAAATATGAAAATGCCTCTAACAGTACTTCTTAATCTCCAATTCAATTAAAATGTAAGAGTGTTGGTATGAGAGAAGCACCTCCATTTAAAAATTAATAATAGAGTATTAAATCTGAGTTTAAGAAAATATCATAAGTAAAAATGGAGAGTATAGAAAAACAGAAATCAAAAGTATAACTTAATTCTAAAAGTAAAATTAATGGTAATGGAAAGAAGGAAAACACTCCTATTTAGATTAAAATTACAGATGTAGATGCTCAAACTGAAAAAACAGAATTTAATTCAAAAACTGCTAAAACAAATACTTAAGTGCCTGTAGAAATTGTTGAAGAAGTAGTCTAAAATTTTACAAATGAATCTGGGTTATTTTAAACTTAAATAGAAACTGAATAAAACAAAATTGAATAAGATAAAACTTAACTTTAAGGAACTGCTTTTTTTTAAATTTAAGAGGAAGAGGAACATAAAGAATCTATAGAAAAACTAGATGAAAGTAATGATTTCAAAAATGAAAGTAAAAAAATATAAAATGAGAAGTAAAATGATAACAATTTTATTAAGATGATCTAGGATTAAGTTAAATAAAATGATGAAAGATTATTGAAATAATAATAAACTGATTAATCTATTAATCTATTAGAAAGTATGAATCAAAAAAACTTGATTAAAGTTATAGAATCTATTGAAGCAAAGGATCAAGATAATATAGTCAATCCATTAGATGATAGTGAGGATCAAAAGTAAAAAGAATAGCCAAATTCTTTATTTGTAACTTTAGAACCTACAGAACAAAAAAATTAGTAAGACTCTTATCAAAATGAAGAGTTTGAGTAAGATGCATGATTTAGAAATTTTTGTTAATTAATTGTATAATATACACATATTAATATAAGAGAAATAAATTATTATAAAATTAATAATTTATATTAGAATTATCATTTCATATAGTAATATATATTAAAAAGCCCTCCAAATATTATTTTTAATGAAAACTAACTAATACACTCTTATTTCAATTGAAGGAAATATTGGATCTGGAAAAAGTACTTTACTAAAATTGATATAATAAAAATATCCTGATGTAAGTCATACTAATATTTTTAGTTACGATTTATACCTGAACCTGTTAATGAATGGCAATGTATTAATGGTGATCCATCTATGAATTTATTGGGTTCATTTTATGAAGACCCTACAAGATGGGCTTATACTATGCAGGTTTATGCCTTTTATAGCAGATTAAAACATTGGAAGGAAGTTCTATCAGATCCAATTAATCCAGAGGAGAAACATTTAATATTAAGTGAGAGAAGCATAGAGGCAGATAAAGAAATATTTGCTGTTAATGGACATAAAAATGGTTTAATTAACAATTTGGAATTTGCTTTATATGAAAAATTCTATGATTGGTTATGTGAAGAAGTTTTCGGAAAGAAAATTTAAAAGCAAATGATCATTTATCTATAAGTGGATCCAGAAGTATGTCATTTAAGAATGTAAAAGCGAGCCAGAGATGAAGAAAAAGTATTACCGCCATTTTTATTATTTAAAGAATACAATTTCTAAGGAATATCTGACATAAATACATAATAGACATGAAGAATGGTTATTAAGAGAAACACATAAAAATACATCAATATTAGTTCTAAATGGAGATAAAGAATTTGAAAGTGATCCAAATTAATAATAAAAGATGTTTAATAGTATAGATAACTTTTTAAAAGGATTATTATGAACTTTAATTTATTTATAGTTTTTTTTATTATTTGTATTAAAAATAAATAGATAAAATACTACACAAAATTGAATTAATTATAGAATCATTATTAGCTAATGAATTATTCTGTAAGGCTTTAGGCTAGATTTAATCCAGTAACTATTGTAATTGGTAAAAAATTATTTATATCTGGTTATTAATGTAATTTGGGTGGTTCTGATTTTGTTTTCTTTAATAATAATGAATTCTTTTTAGAATTGCTAGCTGATTTTTATTTTATCAATTATTTTAAAGTTTCAATATCAATGAGTTCATCATAAGAGATAAGATGTTCCTCATATGTTTCTGATTATGTTCTATATAGAATCATAGCATCTCTAATTTAAACACTTTCAGTTGAAACTACATCTAAATCAGCTAATTTAGAGATTTCTTCATATAGTTCAGCATGATAATCTTTTATGTATGTAGATAATTTATCATAAGTATTTTTTTAATAGTTAATTGTCAATCTAATAGTCTATGATAGCAAAGGTTCACAATTGATAATTGATTTAATTTTGTAAAATACTTTATTGATGTTGAGTAATTGAAATGAATAATCTGTTTATTAAGTAATGAATTAATTTTCATCATTGTATTTTTAAATTCTTCTTGAAAATTCTGGACTTTATTTTATTTGTTCAATATGAGCTTAAATTTTAGCATATTTTTATTCTAAGAGATGAGGAATTAATTTATTTTCTAAGATATGTTTTTAAAAAATATATCCTAGAACATTGATATCTTTGGAAAAATTAATATTATGTTCTTAATAAAGATTTCCAGTTTATTCTATTAAAATAATGAATAGGTTTTCTAAATCTTTCATATATTTAAATTTTGAATGTCCTGCCATTCTCACATTAGATTATGTAGTTGATAAATCAATTAATGATTTGACATAATCTTTTAATAAATATTATTCATATTTAAGTGTAGGACTTATTCTAACTGCATATAATTATTATAAGAAAATTGATCTTAAAGCATGTTTGCATTTTGAATATATATATTGATTCCACATTTTCATCATTATCCATTAAATATTTAAGGGTGGGAAATGATATGAAGGAATTTATTCTTTTAAAATGATATCAAAAAGATGCAGATAAGGTGTTACATGTTAGTCTATTTATTGCATCCAAATCAAGTACATTTAGAAATTATATAAATAAAAATCTAATTATCCTATTGAATCATTAGTAGTTCCTGCACATTCTAATGTTAATGCTACTATTTGTAAAAGGGATTTAATAGTTGAAGTAATTAAAATTATAATATTGAATAATTATGGTAATCTAAAAATAAATAAAATGTTATTACTTCTGATCTACTTAAAATTCTCTTAAAGTTCTGATTTCTAACATCTTTGTGATCATTTATTATCTTGAATTTTATGACTTTTTGAAAAAAGCTCTTGTTTAATTAAGTATTTGTATTTCAGTAATAGATTGACATTCTTAACAACTTTGAAGCTTTTACATTATTTGTTTCTAAAAATCAGAATTTAAGCCTTCTTTAGTCACTTCATCCATTAATAATGGTGGATAGATGATATGTTATTAATAAGCTTATTGAAGTGATTCTTTGAGATTTTATGGGAGATTCTTCATTTGGTTTCTAATCAAGCTCATATACACAAAATTATACTTATTATGTATGAAAACTTCTAAGACTTGAGGCCATGATGCATGCTTAGTCTCAGTTGCAAATTTGACAATGCCTCTTCGATCCTCATACAACTTGTACAATAGATCCCCACATTTAATGGAGTATGGAAGTGATGTGTAAAATCTTTCATAAACAAATTTGCTGGTGCAGTATAGATTTGTGAGATCATTAATTGTGAGAAATTTACAAATTCCATCAACTACTGGATTTGGTAATCGATTGAAATATGTCTCTACTCCCCCAAACATTGAAGAACTCATACTCCCATCAGTAGTAAATCTAAGCATCCCTGATTCATTGGTTGGTGCAGTTGAAACAGACCTACCATAACTTACCATGCTCAAATTGCTATCTCTTTACTTGGCTTATTATTATTTATTTCCCATTATTCTATATTTATTAATTTAAACTAATTATGATCAGATTTGCCACCCGTTTAGTAAGATAATTCTCTTCTAAAATTGTAAACTTCATTTATCATCTTAGGATGAAATTATTGATATTGGTAAACCTTCTCTTTCAAAAGGAATTCTTACTATATGTCCAACTCCCATTGGAAATTTATAAGATTGGACTCCAAGATAAGATAAGGCACTTTTTGAAGCAGATGTTATAGCTTGTGAAGACACTAGAATAACTGGATTTCTAATAAAAATGATAAAGAATAAGAAATTATCAAATGAACAATTGACAATTCCAGAAAATCCTAAGGAATATGATTTAGATGATGATGATTTCTCAATTTAAGATGTTATATTTGATTCAACCAAATAACTATAACTGTATATATATATAAAATATATTTTAGTAAATTACCAGAATTAAATCAATAAGAAATCACTGCTGCAGATTTTAATTTTTATAAATAAAAAAAGATAGAAGAAATGAAAGAACGTGTTACTTAAGAAGTCAAAAAACAAAAAGAATATTTATCTGAATAAGACCCATTAAATTTTATGGGTAAATAAGATTATGAAGAAGAAATGAATCCATCTGAATTTGAAGTCTATGGATTAACTGCTCCATTTATGGTTTATCTTAAAACAAAAATAGCTGTAGCTAAAAAAAGAAAAGGAAGAGGTATCTTAATAAGTTGTCATAAATTTAATGAAGAAAAAAGAATAGATAGAATTATTGCTATGCTTAAAATGGGTTTAAATATAACATTAGTATGTGATGCAGGAACTCCTGCCATCTCAGATCCAGGTTATTAATTAGTAAATAAATGTATTGAAAGAAATGTTAAAATTGAAGTAATACCTGGACCTAGTGCTATATCTGTTGCATTAAGCACTTGTGGATTTCCTACAGAGAATTTTTCTTTTTTAGGATTTCTTTCAAAAGAATAACATGATAGAGATGAAAATTTAAGATTTTTTATAAAATAACCTCGTACTTTAGTTTTATTTGAATCACCATCAAGAGTTCATTAAACATTATTGACTATTGAGAAAATATTTGGAGAAACATAATAATTATGGATAGGATTTGAATTAACTAAGAAATTTGAAAAAAAAATCAGAGGAAAATGTAGGGAAGTATATGAAATGTTGACAGATCCTAAAATAATTAGACCATCTCATTTAAAAGGAGAAGTAACTATTATTATTGCTCCTTATACTGCTACTTATAATGATGAATTAAGAGCAGAATAATTCTCTACAGGAAACAAATAAAATGAATTTTATGAAGAAGAAGAAGAAAATATAGAAAATTTAATTAAAAATGTTGAGGCTTTACAAGTTGCATAAGCTTTTGGAGAAAAATTTCATGGGACTGATAGAGAATTTAATGAAGTTTTGTAGAAAGCCTTAAGAATATCTAAGACAAAGGCTACTAAATTAATTGTAGAAGTTAGACATATGGAAAGAATATAATAAAATTTAAAAAAAATAAAAGAAAGAGTAGGAGAATAAGAAGAGTATTTTAAATGATATACTTTGGTTATTATAATTGTACATTAGAGTTTATGTTTTAATTTATAATCAAAATAATCCTTCTGGTTCACTATGGTGTAATTTTTCTTATATTTTCTTAAGTCTCTTTTGCATAGCATCTGTGTCATTCAAAACAAATTGTGTAATTTATAAAGAAGAACTTTATTAAGTCTAATGTTATTGTTATTCATCATGTTATTTTTTATCTGATTAATAATTTTCATGTTCTTCATCTAATTCCATTATAATACCACCTAATTTAGGAGGTTCAGGGGGTTTTTTATTTATATTGACTACAACTAATTAATTAGTTAATGGAGGACTATGATTATTTTTTTCATTCTTTTTCTATTTATCATTTACATGATTTAATAATCTACTATATGACATTTTTTGATTTTAATTTTAATTATGAAATACTGCATATACTTCTTATGTATCTCCTATTTTCTCTGAATTTTCATTTTTAGGACTATCTGATCGTCTAATTTTTTATAGTTTGATTCTAGGTAAACTTTTCTTATTTTTCAAAGAAGATGATTAAGGTAAGGATTGAGATTCTTAGTTTTATTCTTCATCTGATGTATCTTCTGCTTATGGTTTTCCTTTCATTTTTTCAAATTATTCTGCTTACCAATTTAATAATCTCTTTTTGAATTCTTCATCTTAAGGATCTTTTACTTTTTTGACAGCTTTTAATTATTTGTTTGGAAATTAACTATGAATTTAGTATGGTTATTAAGACAATTAAAATATTGGATCCTCTACAAAGTAATATAATTAATACCTTTATTAGATATCTATTTCAAAGACTTCTTTTTTGGCAAGGCAAATCTTTTCGAGATAACTGCTAATTCTCCATCTTTAATTCCTACTACTTTTACAGTATAGGTTTTCTTTAACTTTTATTCGCATTCTTACATGATCTATTAAACAGGTTTATCTTAAAATTCTTGAACATTCATTCCTACCTACTATAATGAAGATAATAGAGTTTATTTTGAATGAGCAACTTTTGCTTAATGAAAATATGTTTGATATGGAGGATATAATAATTTAGCTAAATGTTCTGCTTATCCATCTTCAACTTGTGTAACTATTTTGCTTTTTATAGACATTACTATTATTATTATTATTATTATTATATTATATATATTATTTTTATATATATATTATTATTATTCTCATGGATTCACAACATTTAATTTAAAAATAATCTTCTACTTTATCAATCCTGTATGATTGTCATGTGCATCTACTGTTAAGGATATTTAATGTTCTTAACAATTGCTAGGAACTAAAATTCTAATTCTCAAAAAATCAAGACCTAAACATATAAAATTTAAGATACCTTTAGGAGGAATCTTTACAATTTTCTCATTTGCAGTGCAATATTATGATTATTCACATTCAAATTTAATTTCAATTTCTTCATCATCATAATTATGGTATTTCACTTTCTTTTTTGTTAAGACACCTTTTTAAACATCAAAGATAGGGTATTCCTAAGTTTTTAAAGGTTTAAATACTTTCACTTATATTGAACCTAACATTGAAGACACTTCTTCAATAGGAAGACAATCAAACTATTCTGTCGCAATCATAAAATTTAGAAATATAATAAATATAAAAAAAGTTTGGAGTGTGAGGGCTTCGATCTCTCCGCCTCTTGAATGCGAATCAAGCGCTCTACCAAATGAGCTAACACCCCACTCAAGATATTTTCCTATGATATCTGCTATATACTAGTTCACACTTTAAATAAACTAATTAAAATTATTCAAATTTTAGAGCTTTCTAAAAATTGGCCTTTAGGAACTATATCAATTTTAAATAAAACCATACTAATTTTAAAATTTTATGAATGATCTCAATATATACAATATACTAAACTATGAGAATGTAAGTATAATTCCTAATAAAAAAGTATGATCAATTAGTCCAACTATTTAATGAGAATGGAGCTTGTTAATTTTATTCCTCAATATACTTACATTCTTTAGATATTACACTTTACAAAGAGGAGCCAATAAAATATTTAAACAAAAAGAATCAAAATTAATTTGGGATTATCAAAGAAATAGTGTGTTTGAATCTAAAAAACAAGAACTAATTACCATTGATAAAAATTTAGGTGTTATTGACTACATAGTTTGTTTCATAATATGTAAATACAAAAATAGCAGATTGGTTAGAATCTAGAGAACTATTCTCTTGTTAAGATACATAATGGATTTGCTGGAGTGGTACAACTATAGTTATTTAATTTTAGATATATAAGGTAAAATCATTCTAGTTAAGCATGATGAAATTCCATCTTATGCTAACAAAAAATAGATGGTTTATTTTATGAGAGCCTCATTTAATCATTATACTAAATAGTTTAACCCTCCTTATGATTAATGGTAGAGATAGTATTGTGTATGTGGAAATCCTGATAATCATGAAAAAAGATATGTGTAATGTGATATCTGTGATATTTGGTATCACATGGAATGTGAAGGATTAACTTAACAATAATGTGATAGACTAGATAAAAATAAACGATTAACATATTCATGTAATTCATGTAAAATTGGAAAGAAAAAGAAAAGATGATTACTATATTATTATAAACTATTTTTGAAGTAATTTAATAATTTAAATTTTTAATAAATAGAGAATATGATTATTGATTTGATAAATCTAAATAGATTAAAGAAGAGTAGAAAAGAAATAAGTATTTCTAATAATAATTATAAAATTATTAATATATATTTTTAGAAACTTCCTTATATTTCTTAGGAAATCTAGAAATTGTTTAAGTATCAAAAGTATGATTTCAGTTTAGATTTAGGGAATATATTTTTCAATTTCCAAAGTAGAGGATCTTTTTACAGAAATATTTTAATAATAACTTTACAAATTAGATAAATTTAAATGCAAATACATAAGGCAACTACATATATAATAATTATGTTTTTAATAGTCTAATAAACAAATATCTCAAGATGGTGACAATACATTATCTTTATTTTGAATGATCTCTTTTTAACCAATTCTTAAATCTCTTTTGGATAATTTATAGCCATGATAACTCAATAATAAAGCAGTAGATATAAATACACCATTTCTAAATCTAATAATAAGTGTATTATATTTAATTACCTCATTTATTTTTATCTGCTTGACATAGGTATATACATCATAAGTTAACCTCCAAGTGCACCTGATATATTTGCTACAGCTACCCAATATATAAACTTCATCAAACATTAAGACTCCAATTCTTTATGTTTTTAAGTACCTTAAGGAGATAACTTTACATATAAATTAGAATCCATTAATATTAATTATAAAAACAAAATAATAATTACAATTATGATTGTTTTGTTCAAAGTAAATGTTTTAAGGATTCTGCTGTCCCTAAAAAAATAGCTAAAATTGAAACAATCAAAATGATTGCATATTGAATAACAAGTCTAGTTGATTTAGAATTCTTGAAATAAATCATATGAACAAGTACAGGGAAACAAAACTAAATAATAAAATTAAAACATTACTTGTAATAAGGATCCAAAAATACTTCCAATCAAATTCAAAAAATGTGATAAATGAGGAACACAATAAGCAATAAAATAAATAGTTATCATTAATGTACTTCTTATAATGATTTATAAAAATCTATCTTCAAATACTTCATCATCTTTTTCACAAGTAATATTATCATTCTTATTGCAAATTGAAACAGCATCCTTTAAAATAGGAGAATCATCATTAGAATTTTCTTCTATATCATGGAAACTGGTATATTGAAATATGGTCTTTTAAAACGTTGATTCTACAATTTGAACAGCTGGAAAAAGTTGAAGTGGAAAGGTCAATAATAAACTAATAGAGTATAAGATCAATGAAACAACTTCTAAGATTGGATTCTTTATTAATATAACAAAGTACTTACTTATATACTAAATAAAACAATAGATTATGTGTCTTATTAATATGTAGATGAACTAATTAGTGATAAAAATATTGAAATTCCAAATGCAGTCATTAAACTTTATGCAGCAACAGATTTAAATTCAAATTTATTCTTCATACTATCTCTAATAGGTAATACAGTAAATATCCCTTCACAACAAAGTATAGCTACTCCTACATAATTAAAAGTATCTAATTAATTTATTATTATAATAATATTACTTTTGAAATTCATTAAATTAGAAAAATGGAAATTGTCAATTATTGAGAGTCTATTTTGGCAATCATATAATATGATACAGAATGAAGCCAAAGCAGAATAAAAGCCATATTTACTGGTTGAATGAAAAAAATGAATTTTTCTTACAAATGATAAGGGAATCACTATAATTAATGTGAGTAACAAGCATTATAATTTGGTCATTTAAATATCTATTTGAATCAATGATTAAGCCAAGGATTCAGTTAGAAATATCAAATAAGCTATACAAAGTCCAATCAATTATAAAATTATGGCAATATCTAAAATATGTGCCCATAGAATTCCTAAAGTCTATTTTATGATATCTGAATAGAGAATATTTTCTGTATTCAAATCATCTGCAATTTCTATCATAAATTAACTTGATCTAAGAAATAAAATGATCATTTTACTTAACACAACTGAAAGCTATTGGAACGAATAAGAAAATAGACCATAGTAATCCAACTTGATAAGTGACAACAGGAAGAACAATAACACCTATAAAAAAATGAAATAAAATGGATACCTATTCCTAAATTTGATTTAATAAAATTGAAATAAGCTTGTCTAGCTGTAGATTTATATTATTTAATTGTGGGAAGTTTAAGTTTATTAGAATCTTCAATTTCTCTGTTCTCCATAATTCGTTTTTAAATATCAAATATAATTAATTTAAAATTGGAATTACTCTGAATTAACAGAAATTATACTAATACTTTTGATAACATAGTTTAAATTGTAAAGTAATATGAAAATGATTAAATTAGAATGTATAATATATATATAAATTATTTTATAAAAAGAATAATGTAAAATTAATCACTTGATGAAGTCTTAAAATAAAATTAGGAATTAAAAGAATTATTGCTTAAACTAAATTAAGATAAACAAATGTTTGAAAAGAAAGTCTAAAGAAAAACATAAGAGTTATAAAAATTAAAATAATCATATGAATTTCTAAGTGACAAAATATTGACATAAAAACATTTATTAGGAAATGTGGAAGCTGAATAAGATTAATTATTACAATTAATAGTAGAATAATTGATTTCAATGATTGGATAAAAATAAGAAGGAACATCTAATAATCCATGTACAAATGATATTTGTAAAGTGATGCAAGTTTAATTACAATAAAATCAAGAATAATAAAAATAAGATTTTTTATATTATTCTAAAAAGATTAGATAAAATGAAGAAGTATTATAGGAAATTAAATAAAAATATGAAAATCAAATAAAAGAATTGAATGAATAAAATTAGATTTTAAAACATAAGTTAGATTTTTTGATAGGCAAAACTGTATATTATCATGAGGCAATATTAGATTTAAATTAATAAGTGAGTGAAGTTCATTATTTAAGGATTTCTTTATAAGAGAATTAAAAGAAAGTAGAAGAAGATTTAATGGCTAAAAGTTAATAGAAAATAGCTTAATTGGAAGTTCGAAATAATTTTTTAATTGATTAAGTGAAGAGTATGGAATAAGAATTAGTAATGGTAGAAAAATTAGTAACAAACATTGAATAGTAAACAATGTAAACAAAGAAAAGAGGGAAATGAAATCGTATTTTACAAATTTTCATCATAATTATTGTATTTATATAATCTTATGCAATCTTATTGAATTATTTTATAATTTTTATTGAATTATTAATTATAAAAATAACTAACCTAAAATTGATATGGAAGATTAATGGTTTCTAAATGGAAAGAAAGTAATAAAGCAATAAATGTTATCAAAATCATCACATTAAATAATTAATGGTGTATCAATAACATTAGAAGCATCATTTGGATGTTTGTAAAATCCAATAAGAAAGAATTGTATGTTTGTTAATGATGATACTCTTATGTTTATAAGTGGAAAACATATAGTGCTTTATGATATAATAAGAAAACGATAAACTTATATAATGAAGAGTGCTGAAGATGAAGTAGTCTAAGCATTGAGTTTTCATGTTTCACATGGATAAAAATTGTTTATTGCAATAGCATTTAAATCAACAAGCAAGATTCTTCCAACAGTTAAAGTGTACAATAGAAAAAAGAAACGATTTTATTAATGTGTTCATTCTCATTTATTACCTAATAGTAATATTCATGAAATATTATTTATAAATGATGGAAAGGTATCATATAGAATATTAATTAGCATCTAATATCATTGTCTACATAAGAGGATGGTTATGGAATGAGTTTATTTGCAGTTAGTAAAGAAGTTTCACTTTCTTATACTCTTATCAAATAAAAAATTAATATGTTAGAATCCATAAATGAGTTTGAATTTTTTTTGATTGGACCATAATTTCTTACATCTTATAAATATTAAGCTGATATTAGTGGATTAGAAATTTAAAATAATTTAATTAATATCTTAGAATTATAATAAGATGAAGTTATTGTAGGAGTATGTTATAATACTGAAAGGAAATATACAATTGTTGCAACTAGTAAAAACAATCTTATTATGATTAAAGGAGATAAGAAAGTTGCAAAATTTGAATTACAAACTCAATAAAAAGAATCAAATCATTTATTATGTAAAATACATTATTAATTAAATAATAGAATAAATTAATAAGGATAAAAATAAACCAACAGAACAAGAGAAATTAGTGAATGTTCGAATATCTACTATAGCAAAAACAAATAAAGGATTCATAATTGGTTTAATAGGAAAACCAGCTTTATAGGTTTATGAAATTGAAGAGACTTCAGAATAAGAATAATATATCTTAAATTTGGTTGGTACTTACTTTATTAAGGATGAACATATATATGGAATTCATTAAATTCATTTGGCTACAGATGAAATGTATGCAGCATTAACAGTAATTTATTTTAATCGTTCTGCATATCAAGTAGCTTTAGGATCATAATAAGTATTAAATAATATTGTAACATGTGAATAAATTTTGGAAAATTATTAAGGAAAATTAGAATTATTTACATTTAATTTAGCTATAGTAGAAGCATTAAAGTCTGTACAAAAAGATCCATTTGAACCATTATTTGAGAAGGGTGTTCATAAAGGTACAATTTTCAATATTGCTACAACTCCTATGAGATCTATAATAGCATCAGTTTGTGATGATAAAAATATCAAATTTTGGGATTATTCAAATGATTTTAAAGAAATGTTCTCTCATTAATTTCATGAAACTCCATTATCAGTTGCTATACATCCATTAAGTTATTAATGTGCAATTGGATTTAAAGATGGGTAATTATATATATAATATTAATTAATTAGTCTTCGATTCTATTTTATATTAGATGATGATCTTAAATTAGTTCATAATGAAACTACTAAAGTATGTAATGCACTTACATATAGTGAAGGAGGACATATATTAGCTGCTGCTAATGGAAATCAAATTCAATTGTATAATCCATTAACATATAAAATGATAAATGTATTGCCAAATCATCAAACAAATCTAAAAGATTTATTATTCATAGATAGAGTATTAAAATTCATTAAATAAATATAAGGATAATCTTTTGATTTCTTAATGTCAATTTGGAATTTTATATGTTTGGAATCTACTCTCAGGTGAAAGAATTTTAGAACATGCATAAAAGCAAAATAAATATTAAAGTTTATGTTATGATTTTGAATATGATCTTGTTATTGGTGTTTCAGATTAGAAATTAAAAGTATATCATGAAAAGGGTTAGAATATGGTCTTAGAAGTGGATACATCTCCTACTTAATTTAGTGCCATATGTATTAGTCATAGATATAATGCCATCTTTTTTGGAACTACATAAGGATCTATTAGAGTGTATTCTTATCCATTTTATCATTTCAATCCTAAAATGATGGAATCTATAGAAATTCCTGTACATTAATTAGCTGTCACAGCAATTAAAGTATCTCCTGATAATAGTTATTTAATAAGTTCATCAATAGATGGTAGTATATTTTTTAGTAAAATAAAATAATTCATAAATGGAGAAGAAGTATTTATAAATATTTAATTAATATTAGATAACATAATTAGATTTAATAACTAGAGGTGATATAGAGAATAAGATTACTAATACATTTGCACTTAATAGTTTATGTTTATGTTCAACAACTGCTTAAGAAATAAGATAAGAATAGTTAAAAGAATTGGAATATAGATTATAAAATTTTAAAAGTGATATTGATGATGCTAAGGAAGTTTAATTGAATAATAATGATTATAAATTAAAGAAAATAAGAGATGAACATGTTAAAGAGATTTAAAAAGTTTAAGATTAATTATCATAAACTATTTAATAATCTGATGCTAAAAATAATAAAATAAAAGAAGATAAAAAGAATTTAATTTCTACTTCTAAGAAAACTATTGAAGAAATGAATGAATAAAATTCAAAGAAATTATTGTAAATTTATGATATAAGAGATAAATTAAATGAAAAATTATAAAATATTATTAAATAATAAGATGAAGAAAGACGTTTAATTAATTAAGAATATTAATAATCAATTTCTTAAGTTGATGATGAATACTGTTAAAAATATTAAGATTTATTTAATAGATTTAGTTAAGCTATGTCTAATATGAAATTAGATCAAAGAAAATTCAAAGAAGTCTTACAATAAAGTGAAAAAGATTATGAAACCTTTTATAAGGAATCTTAATAGTCTTTAAAAGCAAAATTAGAAGAATTTAATACTTAAACAGAAATATTAAGATCTAGTATCTCTAGATTTAAAAAAGAAATTGTTAGATATTAAAATAGAAAAGAAATTTTGCATAATTTAAAAAAAGGTAAAGAATATATCAAATTCATATAGAAACTGATGAATCTTTGTAAAGTTTACGTTAAGAATTGAAAGGTTATGAAGAAAAACATAAGATGATGTTAGCAGATTTAAGAGAGAAAGAGAAACTAATAAATTAAAGGGAATAACAAATAAAAGATTTTAGAATGAAAAATGTTCATTTATAAAATTTCTAAAAAGTTTATGATTATAGAGTTAATACTCTTAAAGATGAAAGAGAACCTTTGATGGATCATCTAAAAAATATGGAAGTAAATAATTCATATTTATTTATATAGAAACATGTTAAGAATCTTTATAATGAATTGATAGAAGAATCAGGATTAAAGTAATCTAGAATTGAAGAAGAGAGAAAATTAATTACAGATTTAAATATATTTAAAAACTAACTTAAATCTGCCTTAACTGTTTTATCTTTATCTAAAAGAAATATGGATAACTTTAAATCTTCTATTTAAACATTAATTAATAGTGACACTGGTGATTGGCCAGAAAAATTAGAAGAATTGTATCATATGGTATAAAAAGAAAATAGTAAAGCAATTACTATTAAAAATCCTGTGTTTTAAGAAACTTTAAAAGATATGTAAAAGGATCCTTTATAATAATAAATTGATCAAAGTTAACAGAATGCCATTTATAAAGCATTGTCTAGCCAAAAACAATATTTACAATCAAGTCTTTCAGAAGTTGAGGCTTCTGTAAAATATTAATTGGGTTAAAGAGTAGTTGCTTATGATACTATTTAAGACTAAAACAAACATCTTATAAAATAATGCAAAGAATTAAGAGAAATAAAATAGGAATTGAAATCATAATTAGATAGCATGAATAAGGAATATAGAGAAAAAAAAAGAGAATTAAATAGTTAAGGTATTGAAATTCCAGAAGAAAATGAAGATGAGAATTAATTTGCCAAGACATATGCAACAACATTTACTTCAATTACAAGAACACCTGGAACAAAGTCATAATAAAATTTTAGAACTAAAATTATTAAAAATATAGGATGATAATTTATTAATTATTTATTTCATTTGATAATAATAAATGCTCTATCATATCATTATAATAATTATTGAAAATATAATTAGATATTTAATATTATATTTCAATATCTTATGTATATTTGTTGTTTACTTTAATGTATTAAATATTATTTCTAGTAAATTATAATTTAACAATTATATTCAGAATTTTAGAATTCAAACAAACAGTATCTTATATCAAAGTTTTTCCTTTTTATTTATAATGAAATATGATTAAATTTGAGAAATTCCAATCCCCTATAAGTTATCAAATAATCCTTATATTAAAACTTTATTACTTACAAAATTCAGACTAAAAAACTTTGAGATAACAAAAAAATTATATTGATTATTTATGATACAGAATACTTACTAATGTATGAATACATAACAAATAAACATTTTAAATTAAACTTATCAAGACTTAAACGAAATAATCCCTTATAAATCATAAATTATATAGTTTAAGAATTTAAATATTTCACTATGTAGGGATTATGAATAGAAATATTATATATCACATATTATTGATATTAATGTTAAAGACTTAATGAATACATAATTTTAAGTTTTAGATCTTGATAAAGTTTATAAAAATAATTATAATATTTTTTTGTTCTCTACAAAATATTGGAACTTAAGGATCAAAATAATGTATAAATTTAATTTTACTTTAGGAGTATTTCATAATAAAACTAGTCTTAACTATGAATTTTAATAAATAATAATCAATTATCTAATCAATTAAAGCTAATAGTACACAATTAAAATGACGTATGTCTCTTTTGATGAAGATATTTAATCGCAGCAAAAAATCTTATTTTCATATATATATTTATATAAGCAATATAATAAATGGGTTGTGCTGCATCTAAAAAGTTTACTAAGAAAGGAACAGCCTTTGATGATTATACTTAAAAATTAGATTCTGATGATCAAACCAATTTAGGAATGATCGCTTTCAAAAGCCTTGAGAAGAAACACATGGTAATTAACTTAGAGATGTTATCAAGTATGACTTATTTATATAAAAATAGAAACATGTTCCCCTGAACATAAGTGCAGATTAGGTGAAATACTTGAAGAAATTTGAAATGACTAAATTATACTCAAATGATTAATATTATTCATCTTCACTTCATATATAAATGTTCTAAACTGTATTTTATGATTCAAAAAGATTTTATGACTGATTATTTTTTTTATATTCTTGTCAAGCAATATTAATTGTAAATAACAAGAATCTATTGTATTTTATTTGAAAATTCATTATAATTATAAGAATTCCTTTTTATTAATTAATACAAGATTTTGTTGGAACTTTGTTTAATATTGGCATTACACCTAACATAAGATTATCTAATTTTTATGAGTTGTTTTATGAATATATTATAACTAAAAGAAAGCCAGCTTTACTTGAAAAGTTGAAAGCAATATCTTACATTCTTCCTTATCATTAAATACAATAAGTTAAAAATTAATTCAATAATTAGTATTATAATAAGAAAGCTAGAGTTTATAATTGATTTAAGTGATTTAAAATCAATTTAATATGACTATAAATAATATATATATTGATCAAATTGAATAATAAGAAAACTTATTGTAATTAGTAATAATAAAAAGACATATTAATTGTATATATATATAATTAATTAATTAAGAGTTAAACTAGAGAATTTAAATAAAATCACTTAAGAATTATAAAATATAATATAGTAATGAATAATTAATTAGGATAGATAGCATCAAATGAATTTTCATTATCATATTTAGAATATTTGAAATAAATCATATTTTTTAGTTTTTATAATCATTTTTTTTAAATCTTAATTGAAAACGAATAATTATCAAACATATTTAAGAATATAGTTTGATTTGTTTATTGTAAAATTATATCATTTATAATAATATGTTAAGTGAAAATTCAACTTTGTGTTTATAGATTTAATATGAGTTTTATAAATTTTAATGAATGATTCAAAAAAATATAGTTAACAAATAGGAATGATTGCATAAATTATAAATAAAAATAAAGTATGGAGGTAGCGAAAAAGCTCAAATTATAATCACAAAGGTTTCATGAGAAGGAAATGAGTTGGAAAGTGTAAGAATAGGTTGAGGAGATTAAGTTGAAGGATCGTGGTCATTTGAGGTTAAAAGAGTGGACCAAAAGAAATCATTATGAAAAAAATATGAAGGATTTGAGAAAATAATATGAAAAGTATATAGTAAAGTGATTGTAGGTATTTTACAATCACTAGGGTAGATGGAAGATCACTCACATCTGAGTAATTTGTGAATTAATTTGAGATTCCTGATATTCCGTGTATAATTGCGAATACAGTTGATGATTGGAATATTGAGAAATATTGGACTTTCGAGAAGTTATATCAATTATATAAGGAAACTTCGTTTAAGGTTGGTGAAGATGATAAAGGAAAGAAGTTGAGAATGCCTTTCAAGAATTTTCTTGAGTACCTTGTATATAATAAAGATGATTCTCCACTTTATTTATTCGAAAGGTATTTCTTTTGTAAGTAACATTTAGTTCATTAGAAGACATGAAAGATGGTGGGGCTGATATAATAAATAGATTTAAGTTACATAAATATTTTTCGGAAGACCTTTTAGCTATGGTAGGAGAAAAGCACCGTCCTCCTTATCGATGGTTCTTAGTAGGGTAATTTATGTTAATGTTAATAGCATATAGCCCATAGCGATCAGGTACAACAGTACATATTGATCCTTTGATGACAAGTGCATGGAATACATCATTGTAAGGTCATAAACTTTGGGTTCTTTTTCCACCTGATATTCCAAAATGTGTAGTAAAAGCTAAAGGATTAGCAGCTAAAAGATTAATAGATCCTGTAGATTTAGATGAATCAATTGATTATTTTATGAATGCATTACCTAAATTGATTGAGTAAGAAGGAGCAGATAATTTAAAAATTATTATGGGTATATAAGGTCCTGGAGATACTATATTTGTACCTGGTGGATGGTGGCATGCTGTTTTGAATTTAGATAATACAATTGCAATAACTTAAAATTTTATGTCAATTAATAATTTTGATAAAACCTGGAGGTAATTATTATAATAGATATATAATTAGATCGGTGAGAGATGAGAGACCCAAGTTTAGTAAGCGTTTATTGCAGGTTTTCTAGGATTAGAGGTCTGATTTGTATGAAAGAGCACTTAAATTAGATGAAATCGATAAGAACCAATTTAGAGTGCTGAGACAAGCCAATCCATTGAGTTCCGATGAATCCACTGGTAGTTCATCATCTAGTAGTTCAAGTAGTTCATCTAGTAGTTCCAGTTCCGATGAAGATAATTGATTAAGTGTATATTCAATATAATAATTTTAAATCAATGATTCATTTATGCTTCTTAATTTTCAATAGAACGATTAATTTATCCATCTTGATTTTCAATTGAACTTAAATTTTGATATGATTCATCTTATTAAACTCTCAATTTCTTTGGTACCCAATATTTAAAATAGAATACTGTCATTGAACAAATTAGAAATATGAATGCTATAACATAAAATATAATTGCCAAAGTCCATCTTAATTTTAAACCTGATTTAAGTTCTCCAAAAGTTTCATCAACTTATTCACTTGTCCAATTAGCTCCTCTCATTAAAGACATAACTGGCAAAATAGCATAATTATCACAAGGAAATAATACATCTTTCTTATATTCTACACTTACCATTAAATTAAGTAAAGCTGATAAAGCAACTCCAGTATATGGTTCATAAATTACATAAGAATCATCCCAAACACTTGCCCATTATCTATCAGTCAAATTATCATGTTTATAAACTTCAATCATTTCTTATAATTTTATATCACCATTATAAAAATGAGTTGGACTATTCATAATTGGTGCATTTTATATTGTTGTCATGTTTTCTAGTCCATCCCATTTATAATTATGATAATCTGGATTTTTATCAAATGTATTTTTATTATTTCTAAATCTATAAGCTTTTAAACCATGAAAATCAATTGTTTCATTGTAATCTAAATATATATTCTTAACAATATCAGTAATAATAGTTCCAATATGACCCTATGCTGGTAATTAAGGTTCATATGAAAATGCATCTGTACCTAAATCACAAGCTACTTGAATATTCCATGGATTAAATTATTTAAAAGTTGTTTAATTTCCATCAAAATAAGGAACTTTTACATTTAAATAATTTAGTCCATCAATTAAAGCATATTTTCTAACTTTTGAAATATCCTTCTTACCAGTATATACACTTTATAATTAACTTAATTCACTTGGTATATTTAAATTTAATCCAGTAATTGGAGTAGATGGATCTCCACCCATTGCAGGATTCATTTCTTTGATTGTAACTGTAAGTTATGGCCAATATCCAAATAATATTTCATTAACTGTTCTTGTATCAGCAAATCCTTCCAATCCTAATTCAATCATAACATATCTTAAATAATGTAAAATATTGTAATCATCAAAAGGTAGAATTTTCTAAAAAGATTTTTTATCATCATTTACAAAATGAATGAAAGCATTACTAATCATTTAACCATTATATAAACATTCAAAAGATAATAAATATCTTGCTAAATCATAATCTAATTATTTATCTGTAAAAATATCTTTAAATTAAACTTAAAACCATGTATATTCAAATTTCTTAAATATTGGATAAATATCACCCATAGTTTTACTTGCTTTATATATTTCATCTATTGGATTATCTGAAATCATTGAAAAAGCCCATTATTTAACACCAATCTCAAACTTTGTACATCTTTCCAATTTACAATCATATTTTGTTTTCATTTTATTATTTGCCAATTTTAATTCTTAACCAAATCCTTCTTCTTCATCATCACATAATTATATTAATTATATATTTGTTATTCCTGTTAAATTTTATAATTATCCCCAATAAGTACTTTCTTAATGTTCACATACATATAATAATTTATTTATTGATTTTTAATTCCAATTCTTATATTCATCTAAATTACAAAACTTCTCTTTCTAAATATCATTAATTTTATCTAATTTTTCTAATACTTATTCACATTTTGTAATCTTTTTTATTAACAAATCTGAAAGCACATAATTTAATAAATTATCATTCAAATTTGCCATCTCCCCATAAAGAGCCTATGATACAATTGTTCCAAGTCCTGCTATACCTTTTGTACCATTTATTGATTTTTAAACACCAAACTCTTCTTCCATATATTTTACATATTCATAAAACACCCTAGAATGATATATAGATTCAAGTTTAAATCTGTTTTATATTTTCATTAAATAATTATCCTTTTTATGTTTATCATATAGATTTCCTTATTCATATAAGTATCTTAAATTTCCTATATGTAATAATAAATGAGGATCTGTATAGTATTTAGGATCATCAATAGAGTAATTCTCATAATTTCTAAGTAATTCTAAAGCCCATTCAGTACTAAATTTTAGATTTTTATAATCTTCATTTTTAGGTTCTATAACTTTTAAGAAATATTCTATATTAGTATAAAAATATACCTTTATAGAAATAACTGAGCTCAGGATAACCATGACTAGTAGTATTTCCAGTAATAACACTAGGTACTGGAATAGTACCAGCATCAGGATCATTTGTGATACTTTATGTTGCCCATTATTTAGCACATAAATAAGCATCAAAACATTCTTAAGTTGGAGATTTAGTACAAAACAATTATTTGATACTTCCCTCTGCTCCTTAAATCAATGGTGCTAATTATTTCTTAATTACATTCATTTGTGATTAAGATATTTAAAAGTAATTTCTTAAAAATGAATCATCTGTATATTTCTTTACAACTTATACCCAATTTACAAATGCTGTGTTATTGCCCATTCCAAACTCTTAATCAAACCATATTAAATTTTATTTCTCAATAGATAAACCATTTAACACTGTCTTCTTTGCTGTATCTTCATTCAAAAAACTAGATATAACTGCTTAAGCAATCATAGTTGGGTAAAAGAATTTTTTCAATTCAAAATAAAATGAACTAAACACTTATAATGCCATCACAGCTGGTTCTGTATTC